CGACCAACATTTCTTCAGAAAAAGGTTTCTGAAAGGTAACCTGCAGAATTCCTTCTGCACGGGATGTGGCAGTGCGCATTCCACTCTTCCACTAACACAATGTTCCAGAACGCAGATATGACCCAAATGACTATTTAGGGTGCGTGGGTGGGTGATGGAGCTATACAGTACAACGATGGCATAATGCACACAACGGTAGCCAGACCACCAACACCGTATCAGGTGAGGTGGGATCTTCCGATGGAAAAGCACAGAACACTCATTGGCTAGCAATCATCTCTCCCTCCAGCTTTATTTGACTCCATTGCCTGGCCCCTGAATTTAAGCTCAATCTCCAATTTTCCTATACAAGGATTGGGGTTCACGTGTGACTGTGAGAAAGCCCACAAAGCTGTCCTTGTGTGGCTGTTGCAGATCCATGCTCCAGCTATCTTTCCTTTAGCAGAGAAGAGGGATCCATACCATGTCCCCATCCTCCCTCCGCTTTGCCAGAGGTCCTGGGATACCTGGATGACTACCCAACCCATCGCTCCCTGTGTTCCAACCTGAGACTTCCCTTGGTTGCATTTCTCCATGACTTTGAAACATCTTGCCATACTTCCTGCATCTTAGTCCATCTCTCTATCCACCACACTATGCTGGGTACCTTGATTTAGGTAATGGCATCTCAGATTACATGTGAAAGATGGATAGAAGGCAAAATACTTGTTACTAGCCATTGTGCATTATTTCTCTGTTTTACTGGAGTGTGCTAAGGTTTTTCTTTGACAGTACAACCTTCTTTTATGGTGGAGACCACAGGAAAGACCATTGTGGAGCCGAGATCTGAACCAGATGGTGCATCATTCAAAACCGAACTGCCTTAAGAAATAACAGGAGTTCTCTATTCTATGATGAGTTTGCCTCAACCTGGAAAGAAGCTTGGTTTTGAGTTGCCGTTGATCCTCGGCAGATCAGCATAGCTTCATTTGCACTTCTGAGTCCTCAAACACGGCCTCTGAAAGGTTTGCCTGCCTGGCAGGACAATATTACCTGACTTTGATTCCTTGATTTGGGGAATAAAGAGACTTTGAGCGACACTTCCTTGATCATCTCCAGTCCTCCTGCATTGAACTCAAGACATCAACATCAGCATCTTTGAACTGCACAGCTGGAAGGAACCCTATGGGTCATTGAGCGTCAAGGGGGCCCCAGTGGAGAATGGCACTCCCAACATCTGTCCTTGTCGCCAGATACCTAAACCACTGAGCTATCCAGGCGTCCTATGTGCTTCGGATATATTTATAATGTTGTTTGTTTCATTGCCCGCTCTAAAACTGCAAACCCTTGTTAAATGTGTCCGTAATATCTTTTGACAACAGTCTAGCCTATGGTTGTCACCTTGAAGCCACTAGTTGAAGAAAACCACCCCATCAACAAGAACTAGACAAGGCCAGCTGTGAACGGAAGAGCTTTATTCTCTGAGGACGGGAAGGACAAACAAGGTAATCTGGAGATTTACTTCCTCAGATTTCCCTGCGGCAGCTTGATCCCCTACATGGCCTCTGTTCCTGGCCCCCTCTGGCACCGCTTCTGGGGAGCAAGACCTGTCCTGCAGCTTCTCCCCAAAATTTCACTTCCTCACTCCCCTCTTTGTTGCGGGGGGGACCTCTTCGGCCATGTGCTTCTTTTGAAAAGACCAGATACTACGACAGAGCCCCCAGATGTTCAGAGGGGAGGGGAGTTTGGTCTTGCCTCCTTCTCCGCTGTCCAAGGTACATTTAAAAAGGAAGTATTGCATCTTTCCCTACTTAACAAGAAAAAAGAAGAAGAAAAGACAGCTTCCATAGGAAGAAAGTGTTCCTGCCATTACAACTGTAGAGTAAAACTGAGGTGGTCTTTTGCCCTGCAGTGACGGCTAAGATTAGCCATGTTTATTGCATTTTCGAATGGCTCACACACACCCCTCACAGGTCCCCACCTTGACCCCAGCAGGTCTCAATCTAAGGGGGAAAAAAACTATGGGCCAGTTCTCCTCAACCCCATATTTTTGGGGGAAGAGAAAGACTTCCAAGTAGCATCCACGGACTGAATCAGGCTTTTGACCCCATTAATCCAGCGGCACCCGCTCTTGAGGCGAGTTAATACGTCCCTATTGCGCTTTCCTCTGTGTTTAATCAGAAAGGCCAGGCTGAATCCTGAATCTCTTATGTCAGCGTTATCAACTTCCATCAGTTTTTGCCCTGCCCTGGCCCCAACTGTCATGGGTCACTTTCCTTCGAAAAATGTGATTCTTCTCCAACCCCCCCATGTTTTTGAGACTTCTGTTTAGGGAAACTTTCCCCGTTTCCCCACCCACCCAAACACCTTCCCCATATAAACGAAAGTGCTCACTGAGCAAGAAGCTTAGGCTGAGCTCGGCCTAGCTAGGTCTCAAAGCTTTCTGACATAGGCCTTTCTCCCAGGCGAGCCACACTGAGGTGTCTTACAAGTTTTCTGCAAGGCAAGTACGGAGAATTCTTGGATTCGTCCTCCAGAAAATCCAAAACTCTCCTCTCTAGTAAGCACTGGTTCTTAACCTTGGGTTACTCAGGAGTTTTGGACTGCAACTCCCAGAAGCCTTCACCACCAATTGTGCTGGTTGGGGTTTCTGGGAGTTGCAGTTCAAAAACATCTGAGTGCTTTGCTCCCAGGCGAGCCACACTGAGGTGTTTTACAAGTTTTCTGCAAAATTCTGGGATTCGTCCTCCAGAAAATCCAAAACTCTCCTCTCTAATACTTTAGTGGGAAATTGTCGCTCCTGGAGGTTTTCAGGAGTGGCCGTTCTCCTTTTCGGTTTCCAGGAGGAGCAGTTCTCCTTTCTAGCAAAGAAGGGAGACCAGGTGCCAAAAAAATAAAACTAGAAGAAGCTGCATACAGCCCCCACATACCCTATGTTCTTAAGACATTTCAAGGTGGGCATGGAATTTTTTCGATCTTTTTCATTGCAGCTGCTATCATTCCCCAGAAATAATTTTCAAAATCCAAGCCATCAGAGGAGTTTCAGCACACACCCTTGAGTTCTTAGCAGCCCTTGCAAAGGGAGTATGTGGGAGTTGCTGAGCTCCATGGGAAGCACAAAGCGTTGTGGGATTGGTCCTTTTTTGAGAGAGAGAGAGATAGAACCACCATGTACAGAACCCAATAAGCAGAGAGACTACCAGTCCCACAAGACCTTGCAGTTCCCATGGACCTTAGCAACTCTCCCTTTGCTAGAGCTGCAGAGAAGAACACGCTGGGCCTCAAGGGCGCACACTGAAAGTTCTCCAGGTTTTTTTGGATCCAGCTGCCAGAATTCCAGCTGGAAAATTCAAAAAAATCTGAAAGTGGAGTGAAAAAAAAATCCCCCTGAAAATCTCATGTCTAGCGACAACAACCAGAGCATTATTGCCAGCTGTTTAAGAGGCACATCCTGCAGTTAACCAACTCCTTTGTGATAGAAAATGGGGGGGGGACATTGTGGTTTAACTCCTTTTTTGCTTATTTCGAGGGAGGAAAAATGAAAAAGGGGAGGTGGGATCAAATGAACTTTAACAGACAATACCATTTAGAGAGAAGGGAACGAGGAGGGTTGGAAGGTTGGATCTCTTTCAAATGCTGAAAGGCTTATGCCTCATCCCTGGAAAGGATTCAACCTCTTTCCAAAGAGGATTGCAGTACTAGACTACCTACTTATTCTTGGCAGGCATCGAGGATAATTGGAGAAAAATGAGACCGCTCTCAGACCGGGACACTGTGCTTGGTTGGAGAGAGAGCTACCTGTCTTTGTCAAAAGCCAGAACAATTATTCATCTGCCTTCTCTTGTATAACAACACTCTGTAACTTTTTTTTTTAAAGGCTAGTATCCTGTTGGCAGAACGTGCATCCATAATTATCTGTTGTACAGCTGGTTCTGATATTGGAAGAGCCATGGAAGCCAACATTTTTTGCATATATTGTGATTTGACAGATGTTGTGGATGCTTCATTCATGTCTCACATGGGCCTCCACCTCCTGCTCCACACACATATATAATCACGCTGCCTGAGTATAAACAGGATACCAGCCTTGGGGTGTTATTGGTATCTCCTGTCGGCTGGACTGGACCCTCGTTGTGTATGAGACATGGTGTCTCATTCTGCTCTGGAGAGGGCCCAGAATGTTCAACCTGTCAGATAGATCAGATAGAGGTTAGGGCTCTGCTTTTAGCAGCAAGGGGAGAGCTGGCATCTTTCCCCCCACGCCCGGAAGAGAAACTGAACCAATTATAGCTCTTGTCTTTTGCAATGGGGGGTGAACAGTGAGCTGGAATGTGGAAGACCTGAGGTTTTGACCTGGAGTTCTGGGCCCAGAGAGAAGCTTCAAGTTCACAGGTGTGAGCTGCTGGTAGAAAAGTGGCTTTGCTTCCCTCAGGTAACCTCTACTTTCAGGGGAAACTGAGCAGCTTCAGGGAACCACAGAGGACTCTACGGCCCTCTTCTTGTCCTGTCTTTGTATCAGCAAGATGTTCCTTGGGAAGCCACCCAGCTCCTATCCAAAATAGGAGCGCTTTAGGGCCTCGGTCAAGAGTTTATTGCAGAAGGAGGGCAGAAGGAGGTCTTGTGAGGCTTGAAGTATCCTGATTGCACCTTTTTTTTGTCCCAGCTTGTTAAGAAAGGTTGGGGACCACCATGCATTGCAGAAGTTGTCCTTTCTGGTCCTTGGTCCTCAACCCGCCAGTGAAGTCCAAGCTGGCAGAAGTTGACCTGCCTGCGTTGTGGAAGCTTGCAGCGCCTAAGAAGTCCTTTGAAGTGATGAGCTCTATGCAGGGCAGAGCTCTCTCAGTTTCTGATGAGGAGCTGGGTTGAGTATCCCATCCCCTGAGAGTGGCAGGCAGTTGGGTGTAACCAACCAGGATCTTATCACTGCTCCTGTGAGCAGGCATCCTGAGACCACCACTTTGGAATTCTTCCTCCAATTAAGTTCATCCGTGTGAGACCCAAGGAAGAAGCAAAGAGGGCCAGGGAGGTTCTTGGACTGATTCAGAAAGGCCATCAGAGGTGTCTTCGGGAGCCCATGGTGTTGAGCAGCTGAGACCTCATGATCTGGATACTGGTCAGGATTTTCCTCTGGTGTCCTACCAAGCTGATGCCCAGGCTTTGTACATCACTGTGGAAGAAAAAGACCAATACCAGGTGTAATGAGAGGGGAAATGCCAAGGGCTTACATGAACCAAATACAGCGGATTATCAATACAGATGGGGCTTTGAGGTTAACCCGAATGGGTGTTAAAACACAAAAGAGGTCCTTTATGTAGCTCTTGGTGTCTTTTGTGGCTTATGATAGCCTCTGGAATGTGGAAGATTCAGGATTGCACAAGAGAGGCTAATGGAACATATGGATTGCTTACGGATTTCATTTTACCTGTTTTTTTTTAACTTTTGTTTTATCAATTCCGTGTCCTGAAACCTTTAATGGCCAATTTTTTTTTAATGGATTTTTATGGATTTCATTTTATTTGCTTTTTTTAACTTTTGTTTTGTCAATTCCGTGTCCTGAAACCTTTAATGGCATTTATAAGTTACAACAACACAAGCAAAATAGGAAAAGTAAAATTACACAAATCTCACAAATTAGGAGCGAGCAGCAGGGGACAATTTCAAAATTGCAGATAAGAAACCTGCAACAGCAGCGGTCAGGGCATTACATTCATCGCTCATGAAAATAGAAAGAACTGACTCAGAAGAATTGGAAAAATAAGAGAACCAAGGTTCAAGAAAAAAAATTCGGAGGTGGGAATGGGCAGGGCATTGGAACAGTATATGAACCAGGGTGTCAAAGCTTGGAGGGGTTTCTCCCCATGTCCTTGATAGTTGCCTGGAGTGGCTGCCTGCCCGGCCTTCACCTGGTGGACTACTGCCTGTGCTGCTGGAACGAAGCTATCAAAATAGTAAGAGAGAGACCTGTCTCCCCAAACCCCCATATTTTGGGAGTTCGGTCTGGGGTGTTGATTGTATTGCCTTCTGCGATTGTGCGTGTGTTTTGCTTTGACTACAATTGAGGGGATTAGAGATGGGCATGAGCCCAAACTGGTCTGATCACGCATTCCTATTTTTAAACGTCTAGTCCAGAATGCCACGGGGCATGACTCAAAATGCCATGCGTATACCAAATGGGGCATCATTGTGACAGGAAATCCTTCTCGGGCTCGGAATTTAAAATGAGAGTTCACACCAGCCCCTCCAAAGCCATGTTTTGACCGCTTTGTAGGTGTAAGTACAAAAGAACGCGCAACGAGGGAGAATCATTAATTGAACAGCTTGAGTAAATCCCAGGAGGGAATGGCCTCTTAATTTAATAGGATTTTTCAAAAAAAGCCTCTGTCTAAATGGTGATTAATGTCTAAGACTTGGATTTAAAAAAAAAACATTTTAAGGGGCAGTTGAAACTGATCAGTCAGTACGACAGGGTACAGCCAGCATTATGATCTTGATGGGAAATGCTGGGGGAAACAAGACATCATTCCAAAAGGGCCTTGAAGAATCTCTAAAAATGGGATTAATTCAGACCTGGGTTGAAGGAGCCCAACTTTCATGAGCTAGATGACACAGTGCAAAGAGACAGGGGTTTAGTAGCAATCGGCTGTTACGCTTTCCCTGTTTGATTGGATTTTGTAAGAAGAGGTAAATCAGCTTAGCGGATCCAAAACATGTTAATTCCGCCAAAGTCAGAAAGAATGAAATGGCATGTCTACCACCCCTTTCCATGTATAGCGAGGGTGGTGAAGCTCACACATTGGGCCCCGATCTGGCCCAACTGTTCTCCACGTGGCCAGTTTCCCTTCCTCACAACATCCTTCTTGGGTGTTCTCCCAAATTGTACACAAGTTTTAATCCCCACTCAAAAACGGTTTGATTGATATTATTTATATTCCACTTTTCTCCCTATAGGGGACTCAACGCAACTCACACCAAGGTAAACAATACCATAATCACAGATTTTAAAATGCAATTAAAAAGACTCTACTGGAAAACAACTAAACATGTATAAATATTTTTAAAACATTAGAAAATTATTATTTTTTCTTTAAAAATCTCTAAATTCAATTAATATCACATTCCCGAGATGCACACTTATTGCTTGAAAGCTTCCCTCTTGTCCTTTCATCATCTTCCTTTGACTGATGATGGAAGGACAAGAGGGACAGGACCAGATTCACAGGGCAGCATATTCCCAAGTGTACAATCACCCACAGAAATGGGTCTGAGACATCTCACCAAAGACCTAATTACTGGCAATGAGTGTGTTAAGTTAACATCTCCTGGTCTTCTAGCCCCATCCTCTTTTGATGGCTTTCTCCACTATCGGAATGTGGCCTTCTAGAACTTCATTGAAATTGAATTGCATCCTTTGTTTGGAAGATATTTTCCCTAGCTTTGATCTAGAACCCGCTATACTTGTGACTTATTTTTTTGGCATGCTGAATGTTGAAAGACCGGTCCATTGGACCATCATTTTGTAGTTTTCTCTCCGTTTGCCATTCATCCTACTTACTACTGCAATGTAGGTCCTGAGAACATCTCGGAATTAGAATTTGGCTTTTGGGGCTGAAGGAGTTCGCGCAGCCTTGGAGTGTAGAAGCTGCTGAGACTGACAGTTGACTGTAACGCCAACACTGATAATGGAATGGTGTGTTCTACCGTACCTGGAGGAACAACCCTAAGCTAGAGAGCATCCATGTGGTGGAGCCAGCTCTTTTCTCCAGCAGATTACTGTTCTGCTTGCTTCCAGCACCCATCATCTAAGGTAGTGGTCCTCAACCTTGGGCCTCCAGGTGTTCTTGGACTTCAACTCCCAGAAATCCTGGCCAGCAGAGGTGGTGGTGAAGGCTTCTGGGAGATGTAGTCCAAGAACATCTGGAGGCCCAAGGTTGGAGACCACTGATCTAAGGTGACTGCCTTTGTTCTGTAGCAAGGCTGAAGAAGGTGATAATTATAATCACATGAGGCAAGGATGAAGGAGAAGGACATGCAACTATGCGCTCAATATAAAGGAAGCCAGATTTTGGCTGAATATCAGGAAAACTTTCCTAACTGTTAGAGCAGTATGACAATGGAACCAGTTACTTCGGGAGTTTGTGAATGCTCCAGCACTGGAGGCATTCAAGAAAAACTTAGATAATCACCTGGCAGATATCCTTTGATTGTATTCTTGCATTGAGCAGGGGGTTGGACTTAATGGCCTTGTAGGCCCCTTCCAGTTTCACTTTTCTATGATTCTATGATTTCTAAGTGGAAAGTTTCGGGTATCTATATGACCGTTTCCTCACTTCTGTACTAATTTGCTTCTCTCCAACAGAACAGAAACATCAGCGGAGGCCAGAACAAGAGAGGAATAAACCCCAGTCTGGAAGATGTCTCTGAAGAAGGGCTTAATATAGCACTTCTGGTCTTTTTCCATTGGTGATCCCCTTTAAGGGGCAAGCACGCCATTGCAATCTAGGATCTGGTGTGTATGTGCGATGGGGGGGGGGAGCCAAACTCAAATGGCCATTAAGAGTCCCACATGGGTGGGTCAATATGGGTTGTAAAAAGCTCTTGCTGTGCTCAGATTACATCAGGTAACATCAGATTACATCAGATGTTACCTCCACTGCCAACATCCCTGGAGTTGTCTCTGAAGGTTACAGGGAGCGCCTGATTGGCAGAAATGGAGAGCCTTCTGGATGGAACTTGCATTGAGGGCAAGGATGGGGAAACATCAGGGTTAAAGCTGATCACAGCCCCCTTAGACTCCAATCCCATCTTCTAAGCTTCAGAAGGAGACCACTCTCCCTTCCCCATGATATGACCCACTTGGTAATTTATAAGTTCTCAGAGAGATCTGGAAAAGATCTTAAATATGTCTTAAGGCTGTAAATAAGCTTTTCAGCTTACCACGTGCTGGCATTTTAGAACCCACTATCGGCCATAATAACAATAGCCATGGGCCGTCAGGCTTCTGGATGGAACTTGCATATCAGCCATAATAACAATAGCCATGGGCCGTCAGGTCAGTTCTGACTTAGCGTGACCCTTATTCAGAGTTTTCCAGGCAGAGAAGGCTCAGAAGTGGTTTGCCGCTCCCTTCCTCTAGGGGCTCCCTAGGATCAGCATGCAGCTTGCCCAAAGCTACACAGGCTGGCTTTATTTACAGGAGTCATAGAGGTGGAATCGAACTCCCAACCTCTGGTTCCACAGCAAGATGCCTAAACCACAAAGCTATCCTTTTGGCCATGTCCACCATTAAAAAGATCCCCAGCTTGTGGGCAGAAGAAATGTCCCCATCATTGTTTTTGAGGGATGCTGGCCCCCAGCCTAAACCACGAAGCTATCCTTTTGGCCATGTCCACCATTAAAAAATCCCCAGCCTGTGGGCAGAAGAAATGTCCCCATCATTGTTTTTGAGGGATGCTGGCCCCCAGGTGCATTTTGCCCTCCCCAACCCACCCCTTTCAAACGCCTTCCCTCCGGCACTTACTCAATGTTCATCCGCATCACCATGCCGAGGGACGAGTAGCCCGCCAGGGCAAAGTTCTCATGGTATCGGCCCAGCCGAATGGAGTCCAGCCAGTCTTCCACGGTCGTGCAGCTGGCGAAATCGATGCAGCTTCGTTCCGAAAGAGTTTGGGTGAATCTGCAGAGAATGGAGATGCCGGTGGCAGATGGGCTAACAAGCAGAAGGATCCTTTCCTTTGAGGAAGGCAAGGGGGTGATCGCAAAGCAGCACCCAGAGAAGTAAGTGTTGATGGTTCCCACCCTACCCACCCTGGATTTTGCATCTTTTTCTGAGGAGGTAAAGAAAGTCACTTTGAATTGGAAGCTTGATCCCTCGTCTATGGGCCAGCAAGCTCTGTGTGCTTATGACTCAGGTGCAAAAAGCTTATGGGATCATTGACAGTTCATTTATTTATTTAGCCTATCTTATATGCACTGACATGGGAAGCCAACTCGTAAACATGCCATTTCTCAAAAAAAAATAAAATAAAAAAATCTCTAGCCCTGGAGATTAAGGGTCAATTTACACATTACAAAGAATAAACATCCCCTCCAACTACTATCTTCTTCCTTCTCCAATGGGATTTCCTCAGAGATGTGTGCTCTATGTGGCTAAGGAAAAAAAAAGGGCAATGCTATTTCAGGCTGCATTACTAGGAGTACAATCTCCAAATACTGTGAAGTACCCTTCTCTTAGGAACTCATTTGGACTCATCCTGAGTAACCTGCCCAATTCTGGATACCACACTTTAAGAAGGATGCTGACAAACTGGAACGATGATCAGGGAAACCAAGCCCTATATGGAAAAAAATGAAAGAACTGGGCACGCTGTGCTTTGAGAGAAGAAGATTCAAAGGAAATTTGATAGCACTCTTCAAAGACTTGAAAGGGGGCAGGATCTGTTCTCAATCTTATCGAAGTGCAGGATATATAATAATGGGCTCGAGCTAGAGGAAAAATTTCTCAACTGTTCAGCCAGTATGACAACAGCACCCATGACCTTGAGAGGTGGCGAGCGCTCCAATGCTGGAGGCCTTCGAGAGAAGACGGGACCAACATCTGCCAGATATACTTTGATTTGGATTCCTGACTTGACCAGGTGGTTGGGCTTGATGGCCTTATAGGTCTCCTCTCAATCATCCTGTGATTCTAAGTTGCAACTAAACCCACTGAACTTGCAACTGAGTTGACTCGACAAATCTCCACTGATTCAGCGAGGCTACCCCAGTTGCGTTTTACACAACCCTCCTTCCCTTTGGATCAGGTCCCCTTATTCCATGAAAGATCACCTACCTATTGACCATGGCCGTACACTTAAGGTTCTGTGGGTTGCGTATGAGCTTGTCCAGGATGCTGACAATCTGGGAGAAACGTGGCCTCTCGTTGCGGTCTTTCTGCCAGCAGTCCAGCATGAGCTGATGCAAAGCAGTGGGGCAGCCCATGGGGGCGGGCAGCCGATACCCCTCTTCCACAGACTGGATGACCTGCAGAGAAAGTTCAGCAAGGAAAGGACCATACTTTAGAGCCAGATCATCTCTCACCTTCCAGCGCTGGTAAGTGCCTTGGTTTAGCAACGTCAGGACATGCTGTCTTCTGATGGAAGCCAGGGGTCCAAAGAACACTTTTAAGTACGGAGAGACAATGAGTGTATCTGCATTACACAGTTATAGCGATACAACACCACTTTGACTGTGTTGGCTCATTACTACACAATGTTTTGTTTGGTGCAAGGCTTAGAAATTTCTGTTGCAGATCAGAAGAGAGTTTTAGAGCTCCCTAACCAAGAATTCTAAATATCTCACAAGCCCAGAAATCCCATTATTCCTTAGGATGAAGCCACAGCGCTCAAAGTACTATCAGCGTACTACAACTCTGTGGTGTAGACACAATCTCAGTCCTCAAAGGTTAGCAGAAAGCTTGCTATCTGAACAAGACATTCTTCTGAAACCAGAAGGGCAGTGTGACACCTAGAACTGACCAATACCCTACTCCAGTCTGCACATCCCATAATCGCATAGAGTGGAACCATGATGATGTGAAAGACGTCAAGCCTGCTACAGATGTGCCCTGCTTTGCCATATTAATTTGATTCAACCAGTGATGTCCCCCAGATGTTCTAAGTCTACAACTCCCAGAAGCCTTCACCACCAGCTGGGCTGGCCAAGATTTCTGGGAGTTGCAGTCCAAGAACATCTGGGGAAACCACTGAATTGGACTCAGCATTTATGAGAGGTCTCCAGCAGAACATCTCAAACCTCCCACCAAACTACAAATTCCAAGATTCCACAGGGTCATCATCTTAGAAAGGCAGAGTTAAGAAGGGACCCTCTATATCATCAAGTCCAGCCCCTGTCAAGGAGACACAGGGGTGAATCGAACTCCCAACCTCTGGTTTTGTGGCTCGAGACCTCAACCACTGAGCTACGAAGCCATGGCACTTTACACAGCTACTTGAAGATGGATTTTCCAAGAATGAACCAAGTGTGCAGGACTTTCCTTTCTCAAGCAACTATTAGATTCAAAGCCAAGGAAACGACAAAGGAAGGACCAACCGTCTATTCAATAAGGCCTGCTCACAATACACATCCTTTGACCCTTCCTTCTGCTCTTCAACGCCTTGAAAAACACATCTTCCAGAGCTGGCAACTGCCTGGGTTTAGCCCTATGATTCCCAACGGCCAGCCTTGTCACTCCGGTGCAGCAAAAGTCCGATGTCACTGCAAGAACTAACAGAATTTGACACGGCAGCATCAACAAATCCTGGGGAAGTTCTCACTCCCCCGCAGAAAGCAATTGTCTCTCGTTAGGTGTTGATTTGCAGTATTGATCCTGCGGTATGTATTCATCACCAGGCTCGGCTAGTCAGGAGTGGGTCAAACTCTGACTGATTGGATTATATATACATCTGATAAGATCTTGAGTGAATCAGGGGCTGGTGTACTCTCTAAAGAGGACAACAGTGCATCTCTGATGTTGTGTGACCCTGTCACCTCACTTTTAAATTTCCCCCATCCCTTCTCTCTATACTCAGGTGGAGAACCTCAGGGTTCGGGGGGGGGGAGATTCCAGGATGACTCTCTCGGCTTCCTTAGAGGGTCGTGCCCCCTTGCTCTTGACACCTTCACTTAGCAGCTCTCTGATTTCCATTTTGAAAGATTGTGATATGTTCCATCATGCTTTGTTTACCAATGAAAGGTGTGTTCAGCAAAAACAGGACGGCCAAAATCCGATGCATATTTGTGTAACATCCCATGGCTAATGGTAGCTAACTGACAACATGGCAGGGGATATCTGTATATCTCTATATTGCTACCTTGCATCTATGTATACCTCTTACTGGCAGACCGGAAATGACTTTTGGTGAAGCTGAAAGAAGAAAGTGCCAAAGCAGGACTACAGTTGAAGGTTACGAAGACAAAAATTATGAATACAGAAGAACTATACAAGTTTAATGTTGAAAATGCAGAAATGGAAATGGTTAGAGATTTTGTATGACCGGTTGCACTTACACCTGCAGCTACAAAAAAACAACAAAACAACAAAACTGGATTCTGGGATTTCTTTTGTGTTATTTAAACTATGATTTGAAAGAGTGACAGATTTTGTAGTCTTCAGTTCAATCATCAATTTAACTGGAGAGTATAGCCAAGAAATCAGAAGAACACCAAGTCTAGGAAGAGCAGCAATGAAGGAATTGAAAAAGGTCATCAAGTGTAAGGATGTGTTGTTGCAGGTCAAGACCAAGATTATCCACATTCTTGTATTTCTTATCACCATGAATAGGTGTCAAAGATAGACAGTTAAGAAAGTTGGCAGGAAAAGAATCGATACATATGAAATGGGGTGCTGCAAGAGAGATTTGCAGATATGTTGGACTGCCAGGAAGACGAACAAGTGGATCCTAGATCAAATCAAGCCTGAATTGCATGTGGACACATAAATGTTGAAGCTGAGGCTGTCTTTCTTTGGGGACAACATGAGATTCCTGGGTTCCCTGGAAAAGATAATAATGGTGGGAACGATAGAAGGCAACAGGAAAAGAGGAAGACGGAATGTGAGATGGACTACTCCCTAAGGGAAGCCACAGACTCTGAGTCTACAAGAGTTGAGCAGGGCAGTTGAAGACAGGGCATTTTTGAGACTGCTCATTCATAGGGTCACCATAAGTTGGAGGCAGTGGCACATAACAAGAAAGCACGTTTCCAAAAGTCTATTTGAATAAAAGGACTTTGCCTGCAACTGGAAGCATGGAAACCTATGTTTTATTTAATTCTTTTCCTCTCTGTTATTCTATCCTAGTGCTACACCGGATTGTCTTTTGGTCAAAAAAAGCACTTTAAAAAAATAATAATAATCTGCCAGTGGCATTCTGATCCTTTCCATGTTTCATTGCAGTCCTGCAGCAGTTGACCGTTGGGAAAACCGGCCCTAAAGCTGCCCGACCAAAACTGGCAGATTCTTGTCCTGGGACCCCTCACTAAGGCCATTCTCCTCTGCCCGAAGGGTCAGGAAAAGGTGCAGGCCATCAATTCGCACAACGCCCTTCTTTCATCACCGAACCTTCCCCGCTCAATATGGCGAGTCTCTGCCATCCATGAACCACCAGAGAGGACATCTCGTTCTCTTACATCCCGGTTGGTCATATTCCAGTAAGGCCGCTCCCCATAGGCCAGCACTTCCCACATGACGATGCCGTAACTCCACACGTCACTAGCCGAGGAGAACTTTCGGTAGGTGATGGCTTCGGGCGCTGTCCAACGAACGGGGATCTTTCCGCCCTGTAGGAAGGATGAAGATATTCCAAAATTACCCCTTGTTTGAGGAAAGAGTTTCATTCTCTTAGGGTGGTTCTCAGTGGCTGTAAAGGTGTAAATTCCAGAACTCCCAACTGGACTGTAAGTAAAATCAGTTAAGGGATAAGATCTTTGGATTTTCCAAACTGCAAGTATCATAATTCTCTGTTTTGGGAGTTCTACCTACCTTTCAAGCTCCTTCCAAACATCTGAAGGTCAGTCTGTCCAGATTGCTTATTTTGGGTGAGGGGTGGATTGGGCTACAAAAGGTGGGGAGGGGGAGCACTGTCCCATTTGGTGTGCTCCTCCCATCAGAACAATAAATGACCCCTTGTAGCCCAATCAGATCTCAAAGTAGAAACAGCAACTAAGGAGAAGGGGGAAAGAGAGGGGGGAACAGAGCGAAGAAAGGATCCAGGATAGAAGAAGCCAGATGTGGAGAGCAAAGAGGATGCTGTTCGGATGGGGAACGAAATGGAAATAAGATTTGACAGGAGCTAAGAGCAGCCAAGAGAAGGCCAAAGAGTGTAGGAACAGCAGGTGAAACTGGCAGGAGAGAAGGAGGATGGGTGGGCAGGATGGGAAATAAAAGAGAGAGGAGGAATTTGGAAAGAAAGGAGGAAGAGAAAGGGGGAAGCAAGGAGGAGGACAGAGCATGGGAAGCGAAGCTGTAGGACCAGTAGACTACTGGTTTGCATGCAGAAGTCCCTGGTTCAATCTCTAGAACCTCCGCATGAAACTATATACAGCTACTGACAATGTCAAGAAGTCATAAACTGGGGGGTCAGATTAAGCCATCCTTAAAGGAAGGATGCTGGGCTATCTGATCAAGCGTTGGGTTGGGTTTTTTTGAAGTCCCTTGCCAGTTCAATGCCCAGAATGGATGAAGACCTCTGCCTGAAACCCGGGATGGCTCCAGCCAAAGTACATCTCGACCAGCTGTCCATGTTCGTTCTAAAAGCTGCAGGGAAAAGATCTGCAGGGCTCGCAAAATGCATGAAACATCTACAGAGTTTTCCAGAGAACCTCCAGTCTCATGACTGGTGCTTTGTGGGAGCCACCATCTTCCCCAGGCCACCCACAGGGCGAGCCATGACTGGCCAAGCCAGAACACGGAAAGTACCGTTGTGGTGTAGGCCGCTTCTGGGTTGTTCTCCAAGATTCGCGACAGTCCGAAGTCTGAGACCTTACAGACCAAGTTGCCATTGACCAGGATGTTACGGGCTGCCAAATCTCGGTGCACGTAGCCCAGGTCGGCCAGGTAGCGCATGCCAGCACTGATCCCTCTTAACATGACCACCAGTTGAAGAACGGTGAATTGCCCGTCATGTTTCTGAAGAAAGAGCAGCCAAAGTTAGCTTGTCATCAGGGACTCCTCACCAGACTGTTTATTTGTTTAAAATATCTTTTACCCTGCCTTTCTCCTTAAAAAAGATCCAAGGCTGCTTACATTATTTAAAACTAACCACAGTGAGTACATAAACACTTAAAAAAGGATTGGATGTGACCCTACTAAAAAAACCCAAAAACATAAGCAGCACCAAAAACACATGGAAAGCTGTAAGGTACAACAATCCGGTTAAAAATTCCACTCAGGCAGACATTCACCAAGGGAAAGCTGGCCTGAAGAGACAGGTCTTCGCCTGCTTGTGGAAGGACAGCGAAGATGGGGCCAGGCTGGTCTCCAGTGGGAGGGAGTTCCAGAGTTTGGGAGGAGCCACAGAGAAGGCCCTCTCCTGTGTCCTCACTAAATGCACCTGTGAAGGTGGTGGGACTGAGAAAAAGGCCTCCCCGAGGAACTGGGGGGGTCAGGTTACAGTTAAGATTAGAAAGAAGTGGGTCGTGCTATTTCACACATGTTTCATATGAATTTAGCCTGACATAAACATGTTGGTAGGGCTGCTGTCCCAGGCAGTAGGGTCATATGAGGGATGGGAACTCAAGTCATTAGACTGGCTGTCAAGTTGGATTTAAGTCGCAGCAGTCACTTGACGGGTTTTCTTCTTCAGTGACTCAGACTTGACTTGCGACTCTGAATTTTTCTGGGGCTCGGGAAAGCTTGTTTTTAATAGGGACTTGGGACTTGATACCAAAGACATGGACTTGGGACTCGGGCCCAGAGATTTGCCAGCATCCCTGAGTCAAACAAAAGATAACATTTGTGGCTGGAGAGATAACAAAACAACCTTGACAAACAGGGTTGGTGGGGAAGGCAGAAAGCAGCGCCCTAAGCCCATGACTCTAGGCAAGTCATCGGAGGGTTAACATCATCCTGAGCCACGGAAGCTGCCACTGCTTGTCCTTGTTCTTGTCAATCACTCAGCCTGGAACCATGCAGCATGAATGAGAAGGAGTGATATACATTTTCTTACCCGGAGAAAAGAATCCAGCGAGCCGTTCTCCATGTACTCGGTCACAATCATGACTAATTTGCCTGCAGGGGAGAAGAGAGGTCATGTTAATTGAGCAGTCACTTAGCTCTGGAAGACCTGAAGCGTCCGTCTGGTGCTGCCAGGGGGCGTGAGTGCTTGGGGGCCGCTCAGAAATCCCCCACCGGCCCGTGGAGGAACATGGGGCTGTGCAAAACCCAATTTCCTATGACATTTGCTCACAAACTCTAGTTTCCTATGATATTCGTTCGGTCAAGGCCAATCAGTCGGGGGTGCAGATCTCATTATTAAGTCCTTCTTGCTGTCCGTACCGTATTTGCATCCTATTATCATAACGCTTTGTGTCGGATGTGGCTCTTTTTATTCTCCCCTTCTGCAGCTAATTTGTTTATCGAGTGAAAACAAGCATCACGTTTCTGAAATGATGGAAAGCTCAGTAGTTTAGGTCTCTGGCTGCGGAGCCAGAGGTTGGGGGTTCAATTCCCCGCCATGCCTCCTTGAAAAGGGCTGGACTCCATGACCCATAAAAGGTCCTTTCCAGCGATGCCCTTCGCAGATGATGAACAGTTCTGAACGTGGCAAGAGTGCAGGGGGGAACGAGCCCAAATCACAAGCCTGAGGATGCAAAGCGGCAACAGGCCAAAGAGAAATACTGCTGGCCACTTGCCGCAGATTGTAGAGCGTCCTCATCAAATAACCAGGTTGCAGGAGGCCACCAGGGAGACAAAGCAGCTCATTTTGAGCTTAGTAAGGAACCGAGGAGAGCAGCCAGAGACATGCTGTTCTTGCTCATTGCATCCCTAAAGGACGGGCAATATTCAAAGAAAAGACAGGGACGGATTTCCACCCACCCCCTGCCTTCCACAGGGTTGATGGCCCGAGATCCATGCAGCCCCGTTAAATCGATGCAGCTGGAAAGAGAAGCCAGCGCAGTCCTAGGGCTGCCAACTTTCCGGTCCCATCCTGTCTCTGTCTCTTAAACAGGCATTTGATCCTCAGCAATTAGCGAGTGATAGCTTTTCGCTCCAGGCAGTGGGTAGGGAAAAAAAAGAGAGAGAGGAAAGCTTGCTGATTTCTGCAGGAGATTAGATTTCCTTGACAGGGAAAAGAGAAGGGCAGGGGGGTTGGTTTGTTTCTTTGTGGGCTTTTCCCCCTCTTTGCATAGTGAAAGGAATGAGAAGGACAGAGTTAGTTGACCTGGTCCAGGGATTGAACCTCAGACTCAACAACAGACTCGAAAAAAATTCTTTATTCTTTTCCCCCCCACTCAAAATATGGCCAAGCTTTGGCGTTAAAGGCACACAGCCTTCAAGAAAAATAGAAGAGAAACATAGGAAGGTGGTCCATCTAGGGCCATCTAAAGATCTAGCTGGGATTTGAACCCAAGACTTCCTGGAATTCTCCCAGGCCTGTTGCCCCTCAGGATGGTAGTCGTGGCGGCAGCTTCTAGACTAGGCAGGGAGGCCATGGGGCAGTGGAGGGGCGGAGGGAGGGAGGATCATCCCATTTTGCCGACTACACAGACCATAATTTTCCATTTTGGGAATTCCATCTACCGTACAGATATCTTACGAAACCAAAATGTGATGCATCTGGGGGAAAGGCCTAAACTGGAAAAGTTTGAGGCTGAGCTAGGCTTAGCTTCACCCAACCACCCTGCTCAGAAAGAAAGCTCCCAGCTGGCACTGGGGCAGGAACTGGAAGTTTTGGTGGAGCTAGGCCTAGTTAATACTTTCGGAGGAGCTAGGCCTAGCTCACGCTTTGGAAGGAGCTAGGCCTAGCTCACGTTTTGGAATGAGCTAGGCCTAGTTAATGCTTTGGGAGGATATAGGCCTATCTCATGCTTTGGGTGGAGCTAGGCCTAGTTAATTCTTTGGGAGGATCTAGGCCTAGCTCACGCTTTGGAAGGAGCTAGGCCTAGCTCACGTTTTGGAATGAGCTAGGCCTAGTTAATGCTTTGGGAGGATATAGGCCTATCTCATGCTTTGGGTGGAGCTAGGCCTAGTTAATTCTTTGGGAGGATCTAGGCCTAGCTCACGCTTTGGAAGGAGCTAGGCCTAGCTCACGTTTTGGAATGAGCTAGGCCTAGTTAATGCTTTGGGAGGAACTAGGCCTAGCTCATGCTTTGCATGGAGCTAGGCCTAGCTCCTGCCTCTTCGCCTTCCAGTTTCTGCTTTTCCCTCAGATGAAGCCCATCCAGGTGTCTGAAAGGCACCTATAGGTAGAACCACCCAGAATGGTAAATTATGTTGTTTGTAGTTTCTCATGCTTTGGATGGAGCTAGGCCTAGTTAATGCTTTGGGAGGATATAGGCCTATCTCATGCTTTGGGTGGAGCTAGGCCTAGTTAATGCTTTGCATGCTTCTTCGCCTTCCAGTTTCTGCTTTTCCCTCCATGGAGCTAGGCCTAGCTCCTGCCTCTTCGCCTTCCAGTTTCTGCTTTTCCCTCAGATGAAGCCCATCCAGGTGTCTGAAAGGCAAAATAACTGAGTACCACCCAGAATGGAAAATTATGTTGTTTGTAGTTTAGGAAAAAAAATCCATAAATCCCTAGACATCGTGTCTGAACACACCCAGCCGAACCTCAGACCTACTTTTGGTGACCACTCCCTCCAAGTGGATGACATTAGGGTGGTCAAACTGGGCCATGATGCTGGCTTCGCTGAGGAAGTCCCGACGCTGCTTCTCTGTGTAACCAGCTTTCAGAGCCTTCACCGCTACAGGCATCTCCCTCTTCCCAGGCAGCTTCAGACAGCCGTAGCACACCTCGCCCGACTCTCCTGCATGGCAAGAAGGATCAGCATATCCATGAAAGACCAGAACTTTCATTTTGACCCTCCTCCTCCTGCAGTTTCATTTAACCCTCTATGGCAGGGGCTCTCCACCCTGTCTCCCCAGATGTCCTCGGACTACAACTCCACCAGCGGAGCTAGTGGTGAAGGATTCTGGGAATTGTAGTCCGAGAACATTTGGGAACCCCTGCTCTGGGGCATTGCCTCATCCTGGGTCACATTGCTGGTCCACTCATTCTAATGTTCTCTACTCTGTACCATGTTTCCATAAGGTATTGGGGGCATATATAGAGATGTCTTCCCATGGGAGACAGTAGACCTTCTGTAGGGAAAGGATGCCCACCGTATCTACCACTGGATTCCAAGCCTTCCTCCAAAACCATCATAAGCTAGCTCTGTCTACTTGTTTATGAAACCTGGGCATGGGCGAACATGCTAGATTGCAAATTCCAATCAGCTCGGGGTACCATAATCATGAGCCGTGGGGAGAGGTGAAGTCCAACAACATCTTGAGGAGCACTGAATATGGATCTGAGACCTTCAGAGAACCACTGAGTTCTAACGCTCGCCCATATCTGGAACTCCTCTGTAATGCTCCAATTTTTAGGTAGCATCCTGATACATCTTCCCAGGAGGTGAAGCATATTTTTAAGTTAGAGGATCTTGATCCAGACTTGGCATCAGCAAGTTGCCAGAGTCCCAGAACCTGGGCAGGGCTGATGGCTTATCCTGTCGTGAGCTGATTTCTCAATGATGCATCATACCAGGACACTGCAGGAAATCGATTGGCATCAGGAAGTTGCCAGAGTCCCAGAACCTGGACAGGGCTAATGGCTTATCCTGGCGTGAACTGATTTCTCAATGCATCATACCAGGACACTGCAGGAAATCAAAACAGCCACTGGAGATTGTCATTTTAATTTCCTACAGTGTCCCAAGGAGAATTGTGCAAAATTGAAATATCCACCTGCTGTTCTTTCCACCAGGTGACTAGGGGATTAGGATACCGCCTCGACTATCAACTTTCTGGTCTACCAGTTATCCAAGCATTCATTCTGAATACCCCCAGCTCAACTTCTGACATAGCGGTTCAGTTCCCCTTCCTCATAGAACTAAGTGGTACATTAAGACTCCTGCTAACTTCAGCTTCTAATTACAGGCTGTCTGCGATGTACAGGATGGCCCTTCTCCAAGAAAACCAATATGTCTAATTAGGATTCCCAGCCATTGACAAGCTTGTCCTCCTGCCTCGGAAGGAAAATGGGAAGTCAGCTCATGGGTCCAACCAAGACGTTACAAATTGTAGCCCCTCGCTGTGAGATGTTGGTATCGCTTCTCTAGAGAGCTTCATGAAATCATAAAATAACTGAGTTGGAAGGGGCTCAAAAGGCCATTGACTCCAACCCCCTGCTCAAGGCAGGAATCCAAATCAAAGGGTATCTTCCAGGTGGTTGTTCAAAATTCCCTTGAATGCCTCCAGTGTTGAAGTTCTCACCATCTCCCAAGGTCTCTGGTTCCATTGTCGTACTGCTCTAACAGTTAATATGTTTTTCATGACATTCAGCCTAAATCTGTCTTCCTGCAACTTGAGCCTGTTATTCCACTTGTCCTGCACTCTGGGGTGATTGAGAACAGATCGTGTCCCTCCTCTGGATGACTACCTTTTAAATATTTGAAAAGAGTGACTCTATCTCCCCTCAGTCTTCTTTTCTCAGGTTACTCTATCTCCCCTCATTCTTCTTTTCTCAAACATGCCCAGTTCTTTCAGACTTTCCTCCGAGGGCTTGGTTTCCAGTCCCTTGATCATCTTCGTTGCCCTCCTCTGAACTTGCTCTAATTGGTGGGATTCACACACACACCCAGGACTTGGCTCACGAGGGCTGGGACAGAGAGAAGGACCAAACCGGAGACCTACCCACAAAGAAAAGGAGGCTACGCACCACACCCAATGACTCTCTCGATTTTGATCCTGGAGGCTTCTATCTCCCGTGTGAATTCATGGACTGCTTGGCAGGGGTCCTCATATGTGTGTGGCTCCACGTAGAACTTAGACTCTGGAAACTTCACTGTTGGGGTTGAGAGGAGAGAAGATGTAAGCTCTTCAGGGAAACAACGCAAGATGCTCTCATGAGCTCGGCTGATAGTTAGGCAAAGCCAGATCAGGTCTACGTATCCGAGGAAGGGATTTTTCCCACTCAAAGTTGTGAAGGGCTTAATATGGAAAAAAAAATCAGCTCATCCACTGAATAAATTGGGTCCTTCTCTATGAGAGGTTTTCTCCCTGGGCCGTAGATGTGCAGATAATACTTAAGTGTTCTCAGCAGAACTAGGAGATGTCAGATCCTGATCAGTAGGGAATACATGAAATTAATTTTTAACATATTACCGCCAATGTGCATTTTTTTAAGTGACAACTTACGTAGCCCTTTCCCCTTGGACATAAGCAAGGGGTCAGTCTAAATAATCAGTGGGGTCCCTTCTAGGTCTACAATTCGATGGCACGCTGGTGAATTCTGAGAATAATAATAATACTATATAAAAAAACACTTCTCTAAGTTCTAGTGATGAGTGGTAGGGAAAGGACACCAGACCTGTATATGATGGGGAACGTATGGCCTTCTGAATGTTGCTGGACTACAACTCCCATCTTGCCTCAGAGCTGAATATGCTGCCTGAGCGAGTTATAGTCCAAGAACAGCCAGGAAGCCCCATGGGCTCTGCCTCTGTTGCGCAGAGTGGTGATTTGATTGTGTATCCCAGAGCTGTTCTCATTGACCACTATGCTCAGCATAGGATTTTTTTTTTTAACAACAGCATCTGTGATCAATGGGCACCCTGCCTCTGTTTAAACAAGAGGTGACCAGTACCTATAGAGGACTGACTCCCAACCTTGGGTCCCCAGATGTTCTTGGACTACAAATCCCAGAAATCTGGGTCTTGGGAGCCACTGATCTAGCAGCTGTCTGTTCTGCTGTTGAAGAGAAAATGGTGTGAGTCAGGAGCAGGCAACATGCAGTCCATGGGCCTATGCGTGCCCCCAGCACCCTAAATTTTTTTTCTCAAACAATGGAAATAATGACTGAAAAAGTCTCCCTTTTCCTCTGAAGGGGGCACAAGGGGAAAATCTTGCCTCGCTTTTGAGATGCCTCCACTCCTTCGGGCACTGTAGAGCCCAATGGTTCAATTTGAAAATATATTTATTTGGCCACTAGAGGGAGCAAGGGTGGTTTATATATAGATATATATAAAGGAATTGCTCTAGCATTCATAGAGATGGCGAAACTTTCCATAGATCTAATGATGAATATGCGTGGCCCCCAGATGTCTGGAGCCTGGCTGTCCATGCTGCAAGCTAATTTCTTTTCATGTAGAAGCTGCCATCAGCTCACTGGTTTATTTTGGTTCTAGTATTTTAATTTTTCAGGTAACAAGAATGTTTACTGATGCGTAGTGATGGCTCCTTTCCACTTCCCTACCAAATGGCACTATTGTGGAAAGAGGACTGACAACGAATGAGCCAGATCCTCAGAATATCCTCATCATCAGCCTAAGAGTGTCATGACATGCCAAGACATCCCATCCAAGAGACAGCTCCTGCAAGGCATTTTGCTCCAGCATGAATGCTATAATGCCTGACCTTTTTTTGTCTCAACACATAAAATTCAACAAGTTGCTCCCCAAAAACCTTCCAGTTTTGCTCAAAACCTAGCATTTTGCGGAATGTGCGAATATTTGTACAAAGTACAACATTTTGCTCAAAATGCACAAAAGTGAGGGAATACACAGACTCTGATCTGACCGAAGCAGGAGAAACCTTGCCCAATTTTTGTTTCATTTTGTTTTGTTTTCATTCGCAAGAACAAACCAGGGGAAGGTTCGCATCCATAGGCCTGATCATTATTTCTTAGGTTGGATGAAGTGAAGGGGTGGATCTATTCTGAATCTAATGAAGCTTAAACCTCAGGGACTCTGATTCCAGAAGGATCCCGGAAGTGACTTTACTCCGTTTTTTTTTTTTAAAGAAATTGTGGCAATCAACATCAAAGACAATAACA